TTGCATCTAGATGGCAGCTTGCTAGCTTTTAAGATCCCAGTCGCTACTCGCCAAAGTAGGAGGTGGAACAATGTTTTGTATAGTATGTTATGCAATATGGCAAAATTTAACTATTTTTTTCCTCAAAGCTTACTTCTCCTCTGTGCTTCCCTACTTTTGTTAATGCCAATATAAATTCTGCAAGTTCACAAAACAGTCTTCCTTTGTTCTTTTTATTCCTCCTTCTCCTTTCTGTTATATGTTATGCACCACGATCTGTAAATTCTACCTAACAATACCATTCTTTTCCATTCCATCACCACCTTATCAAATTTAAGACTGGTTTGGATATTACAATAGTATTCATATCTCCTAACTCTTCTGTTTTTTCTCTATACTAGTCACAGTTGCTGAATTAATTTCCTTTTTTATTCAGCTAGGTTCAAGTCATCCCAAGATTGAACACCTTAAATGAGAAGCAAACTTCTCAGGATTCCTACTCCTTAGCCCCAGTGCAGATAACTGCAACCTACTAAGAATGAAAGTCAGAAAGGTGATTTGCATTCACTTGTTACCCTCACTACTTGATGGTATATATTTTTAAGGGCTTTGGTGGAAGACAGACATCATCTTGAATTCTGCCTATACCTTTTGGAGCATAATAATCACTGCTGGCTTCAATTATCTCACAAAATGGAAAAACCACTTGTTTTTTGGGGTTCTTGTGAAGGTTGGAGGTAATTTATACTAAATGTGCAGAACCTGACACAAAGTTTGTGCTCAGTAAATTTTAGCCATTATTTTTAAAATTCATCTTTGAATTCTCTGCATGAAATGGCACACTATTCTGCACAGATTAGGTCCTCAAAAGTACTACTATTACTAAGAGGAGATGTGATGGCCAGGAGAGTACAAGAGAAAAATACAGCTGCAGAAGAACTAGGCAGAGAACAGTAACTAGTAGTTACAGGAACTGAAAGGGGTGAGCCTGAGAGAAGATGCCTATGATTTAGACAGATAGGGAAGGAAGAGGTACATTTCAGACACACATAAAACCAAAGGTTGAAGCAGGACCAAGAATGCCTTACAGAGGAGACAAGGAGGGAGCTAAGCCTTACAGGAGAGAGGGTCCATGATGGGCAGTAGAGAGAAATTAAGTTGACCAGATAAATTATGAACTTCTCAGAAATTAAGAGGAGGAGTCTAACCTCAATACTATGGTAACCATAGAGCCATTGTAGGTTCTTGGGCAGGAAAGTGACAGGAAGAAAGTTGTGCTTTTTGGACAACAGGATGGATAGTCATGTGCATGACAGACTGGAGAGCAGGAGGATGCAATTTATGTGGATGTTATAGCTATCCAGATGTGTGGCAAAATTACCTGGCTACAGTGGGAATAGAGGAAAGGGTAAATCAGAGAGAAATGTTGAAAGAGAGATAGAAAAATCAGAACCTAGTAACAAACGATGTAAATGATCTTAACTTTTAGCTTTTTTCCAAAACCCTATATTTCATTTTGTCCCTCAAACTATCTTCAAACACTCTGCTCCCCCAAGTCCTTGTTTCTTGAAATAAAGCTGGGAATAAGTTAATCAATTAATCAATCAACTCTTTAGTCACTGCTGCTAAGTCATTCTGGCTCAAGATAGAAAGATTACTGCTTATTTTAATCTACCTAGATATATTCAGACTTAATTGCAATTCAGCTCAGAACTTCTCTGAAGAGACAGGAAGAAAAATATGTTGAGAATGTAAGTTAATCATAACTCATGTTCTAAAACCCAGAGTCTGCCCTCACATTAGAGTACACATATCCCCACAGGAAGTGAACATCAGGTTCTACAAGTACTACAACTAAATGTCACTGCTACCCTACCCAGGTAGAATTTACCCCAAAGACATCAATTTCTAAGAGGAAAAGAGCAAAGACAGTTGAGAATGTGTGAGTCTTTTACTTTCAATAGGTGGCAAGGTATAGTTGTTCTGTCCAACATCCTTTCTTTTCATTTAGGCTGTTTGTGTATAAATATTTGATTGCATCAAAGCTTCTGCGACTTATTCTTGCTGGCTGGACCAGTTTCTCCGATGGCATATTTGCATGCTAAAGAACCAATCCAGCTACCTCATGTCCCAGGGACACAACTTTTGTGAAGTCTCCAAATTCCATAAACTTTTCAGAATAAGCCATCCCTCAGGATGGGAGCTAGAATGGAGATGCCATCTGTCAGTCTCTCAGCCAAATCTCAACAAGTCTCCTCTGAACAAGGGATGCCAGATCTTCTTCCACCAAAGCCCCCTGTTTCTTTTAAAAAGGCAGTGAGAGCAGGACTTAAAAAGAGATTAAAATAATGCTTCATCAGTCTGCAGGTAACATTGAGCTTGATGGAGCTAATGAAAGATAAATAGTCCAAAGAACAGGAGAAATGAATTGTCCAAGGACAGACTCCTATTAAAATCATACTCTTACTTGAAGCAACACACAATGTCAGGAATGGAATGGATAAAGCATAGCTGAGACTACTCAGCAAGTTAGCAGTAAGCTCTGTCTCTATATTCCTATTTTGTCAGTTTCAAAGAATGTCAGAGTTGGAAGAACCTTAGACTTGTTATCCAATTTCTTCACTGTACAACGAGAAATCTGAGTTCCAGATGAAATAAATACTTGTTCTAGGTTAGAATACCAGCTAGTATCAGAGCAGAGACTAGAAAGTATTCAGTTTGGTTTGGTCTTACTTCCTTGGTATGTATAAGCTCTTTCCCTTTGCAGAGGAGGTGAAGATGGAGAGAAACTCAGAAATTTTGCCATACACTAGACTTCAGGCTACAATGTTTGGGCTGGCTTTAGAGTACCTCCAGAAAGGTCTTTAAGTATTATACCTATTCCTCACTTATCAACTATCTCATTATCTTCCATTTCACATTGATGACAATAGTAAAAAAAAAAAAAAAAACCCACTATGTGACTATTTTGCCCATTAACAACATAAGTCTGGCAGTAATGAACACCAAGGTGCAAAGCAAAAGTAACACTGGCTGTGATGGTTAAGGTTATGTGTCAGCTTGGGCGGGCCATGATTCTCGGTGGTTTGGCAGTTGTGTAATGACATGTATGTAATTTGACAGTTATGCCATGATGTAGTCATCCTTCACTGCGTGATCTAATGTGGTCATCCTCTATTTTCACATAATTCTGATTTTTGCATAATAACCCAATCTTTGGAACCTAACCATATCGATAAGAGAGGAGTGGATGTATTATGATAAGGATATGGAAATCACTTACTCTCTGCAGTGCAAGTAAACATGGCAATCAATGCATTTTTCAGAAGACAAAACAGAGGTTTTCATTCAGTACAACAATGTAGTGCAGTCTCCCATCAAGAATTAAAAAGAATGTAAGCAGTGTCATATTCTTAGGAGACAAAGGATATTTTAAAACTACCACAATCTAGTATTAATTGTTAGATAAACCCAAGTAGTATTAGCCCATTACATATGGCAAGGGGCTTTCAGCAAGATAAAAATTGCTACAGTTGCACGTGATTACTGACATTTCTGGAATATTCAATACCACACCACACACCTTTGTAATAACAGCAGGATAGCACAAGTCCAATGTACAGGTTTCCCTAAAATGAAGGTTCTTACTAAACCAAATGTAAAGTTTTCTTTTTTCTCTTACACTTAGAAGACTAATTAAACAAGTATATTGTTATTGAGGTCAGCAGATTTTAAAAAACTGAACACAAACACACACACACATATACAAACACACACAAACCCTTAAGAGCCTAGAGTTTAGATATACAAAACCACTATACATGTTATATTAACAAGAGCGGTTTACATATTTTAAATTCATTCATATTTCTTGTCTCCTACTTTAATTACACATAACAACAACTATAATTACCCAGATCCCTGAAAAAAAAAAAAAACTGGGGGGAAACATTAATCCTTACAACCACCCTGCTGGTTATGTGTTATTTGACCCATTTTACAGATGAGAAAATGGAAACCCAGAGAGTAACCTGTTCAAGGTAACACAACAAGTAAGTAGTAGAGCTGGAATTGAATCCAGATCATTTAAGTTCAGACTCTTCACTGTAACAACAGTTATCAAAGTGTGGTCTGTAAAACTTTGGGGGTCCCCAAGACTCTTTTAGGGAGTCCAGGAAGTCCACACTATCTTCATAAAACTACTAAGACACATTTTGCTTTTCACCATGTTAACATTTGCACCAATGGTGCAAAAATAATGGATGGTAAACCTGCTGGCACCTTAGTACAAATCAATTTTACTAACACTCTCTTGGAATACAAACAATGCCAGTTTCACTTACAAATACCCTTACTGAAGCAGTAAAAATAAATTATTTTATGAAATCTCAATACTTGAGTATGTATCTTTTTAATATTCTGCGTGATGAAATGGAAAAAAATATGCATGAAGCACCTCTGTCATATACCAAACTAATGTCATTGTGTTTCAATATAATCATTTGCATTGAGACCTACACTAGCCATTTTTTTTTTTAATTTTACTTGAAAAAAATGACTAATAATCAATAGTTATTCAGATTTGGATAGGCAGATATTTCTCCAAAACAAAAAAAGGTAAGCCTGTCATTTCAAAGAAAACAACTGTATTTGTTGCCAGTGATAAAATTCAAATTTTTAAGCAAAAATTAGAATTACAGGAAATTTGTATCCACTATCATGACACTTTTCTGATAAGATCAATGGTGACATTAACAAATGTGATTTTTTTTAAATACCATATAAAGAAATGTGTCATCACTTTGGAAGACTGGATACAGGATGCTACAAAATCGTGCATGAGTAGAAGATCCCACCCTGCACACATTTAAAGTTTAAAATAGACCAATGGGCCTTAATCCAACAGATAACAAAAAGTTCATTGATTTGGTTTCAGATTTCACATTGCAGTAATCCTTTACGAAACTACTTTGCAAATTGTGGGGCAGCACCAAAGAAGAACATCCACAATTATCTGAAAAGGCTATTAAAATACTCCTCTCTTTTCTAAATTTATATGAGTGTGAGGCTGGATTTTCTTCACATACTTCAACCCAAACAACCTATCACAACAGACTGGATACACAATCAGATATGATAATCCAGCTGTCATCTATTACACCAGGCATTAAGAGAGTTGAAAAAGTATAAAAATCTCTTCTCAGTCAATGTTTCTTGTTGTGGAAAATAGAGGAATTTTTCCTAAAAATGTGATTTATGTTAACATGTCACATGTTTAGTATTATTTTTAAATGGATTAATAAATGCTTTAAAAGTTTCTCACTTCAATTTCTAATAAGCTAAGTATTGATATAATCCAATGAAAATCAGGGGCTCAATGAAGTTTTCAATAATTTTTAAGAGTATAAAGGGGTCCTAAGATGAAAAAGATTGAGAGCTGCTGTACTATATCATGCTGTCTTTAATACTCAAAATATGATAAAGAGTAGAAACAATTTCTCTATAGAGACTTTCACAAAAATTTAGAAAAGATCACCAAGATGTACCCTACTTAATGTTATTGAGGAAGGATGTGTTCAAGTAGCCCTAACCCTATGGTCTCATGTGCAAAGAAGGAGTATCATGGAATAAATGTTATAAAGGCAGTCTTAAATTATTGGTAGGTCCAAAAGGACCCTAATCAAATAGCAAAGTCTAGCAAGAGAGTTTCATCTACCATTAATGATTTTAAACCAAGGCCTCTGCTGATGTTTGGTAATGGTGATGTCTCACTAACAATAAAACCCACCACAGTTGATTTTAACTCATAGTTACCCTATAGGGCAGAGTGTAACTGCCCCATAGGGTTTCCAAGGCTGTAAATCCTTATAGAAGCAGACTTCCACATTGTTCTCCCATGGAGCAGTTGGTAGGTTCGAACCGTTGCCCTTTTGGTTAGCAGTCAAGCACTTAACCACTATACCACCAGAGCTCACTTCACTGAGTAATAACAGGTGGCAAAATATATTCCCTGATGACTCAAACCAAGAAAGTGCTTTAAATTAGTAACAATAATTGTACTTGACATGATGGGAAACAATGAGAAATACCTATATCCAGCTATTTATCTGTCATGTTTTTACAACACTCACCATAGTAGGAAGACATGCTCAACTGAAAAGCAACTTTTTAATCATGATAGAGTCTCCTATCTTCCAAGTCAGTTTTAAACCTGTGGTGGGTGAGCTGGTCATTTGGCTTGAAAGAGGACAGCAAAAAGTCAAGAAACTGCTCATTTGCAAATAAAGAGTTTCATTTTCTCTATTTCCACAAGAAGATGGCATGTAGGAGCAAGTGGGAAGGTCCTTATTTATTTGTTCTTCCAGACACATGTGTAAGTTACATCTCTAAACTGAGCTAACAGTACAAACAGGTTAATTTATGCAAAGCATATTTGAATATTCATAATTTTAAAAATGTTTAACTAAAAGATCCTAAAAATAACTAAGTGTTTTTGTTATGCTTATTAGATTTGGCAGTCAACTGTGCCCTGTGAATGACTCACCACTAAAACACTAGCCCAAGAATAAGTCAAAATATGTATATATTTCAAAACTAACCTACAGAAAAGGCCAAAACACAGTGAGCCTTCTGGGCTAAACTGGTATACACAAAACCATAGAAAGGTTAGTATCTTTGGAAGCCTAGGATCAGGGGATAGGAATGGTAATAAAGTCATCATTTTTGTTTTCCTTTTCTTTTTTTCATTTATGGTAGCAGCAAACAAAAGTTATCTTCAAGTGACTCATAAAAGTTGCCCCAGTCACAGGTGTTCACCAATCCCAACTTGCTAGTGTTCTCATGGTGGTTTATATGTTATTGAGGGTCACTGACTACTCTCACTAGTGAAGACGCTCTAGAGAATCAGAAAGATGTTTGAAAGTCATTGCCAGTAAGATTAATTAAGGCCTCCTCTGCTCAACTTTTCTAATGTAACTAGCATAAAAAAAATCACCAAGAATACAAATAAAAAAGTCACATATTTGGTTCCTTTAAGCTTATTTAATATTTGAACTCTCATTTTCTATTTTCCCACACCCCAGAAAACAGAAAGTTTTTAGATGACCAATATTTTGTTCCAGAAACATACAGCCTTATCAGCTAATTCATAAAAGAGCTATTTTACAAAGGTACATCTGGATAATTAGAACAATAAAGTCTTTTAGGCATTTCAAAATGTGATCAGTAAAAATACATGATTATTAATAAAGATTTTTAAAAGATAGTTCCAGATTTTTTATAAAAGCAATTTCTATTAAAGAGTACATGATTGTATGGTGAACAAGGAAAATAAAATGTTCTAGTAGGAAGAGACTTATTAAAAATAACCAACAGTGTGCACCTTACAGTTACCATTTTTGCGGTACATCTGCTTAGCAGTTGGCACCTGGAAATGGAGGGGAGGGCTTCCTTCTAGGAGGTACTTTTTTTCTACCAATTTATTATCAATAACATCAGTACCAGTGGAGGAGGCATAAGAAACAAGCAAAAGGAAACTCTTTTCTTCAAGAATGAAAAATTCTGCAGATCATTTTGAAAAGGGGTGGAAAAGTCAGGGGAAAAAAAAGATTTACAAAACAAAAGTTGTAATGGGGGGTGGATAATCAGCCAACAGAAAGCTGACTGGAAGGTCCTGCTAATTTTTGTATTTTGAGGTCCTCTGCACACAATGGTGCCCTGTATGGCATATAGGGAAGGAAACAGTGACCAAAGCTCTACTAGCTCAAAATAACATCACAACACTAACTTCAGAGAAGACAGTTTCCAATTGAAAATATGTAGGCCCCATGTAATACACCATATTTACCAACATCAAAGACAAGAAAAAAAAAAA